TAACTGCATTTTTAATGCATGATTTCATTTGAAAACCTCTTAATAAAAGTTGCATGTTGTACGCATTTTTACATGATTTGAAGTAGTGTGTACGAGTATAAGTGCCCTGAAATAGGCCTACATACTATTAATAAAGAATTTGATTTGGAGTTACTTTAGGTCACATGGAAAGCATTGGGGGAGGCCTATGTTCAGCAATAGACGTCCTATAACTGAGATGATGATGATGATGATGAATTTTAAGTAACCGACACACGCTCTGCTATGACAGAATTTCATCCTGAATAACTTACTGTCCTATACTATTTCTGAAGATCATAATTTAAGGTGTGGAATAGCTATAAATAATTTGAATTTGTCTCGTCTACTGTAGATAGAAACATATTTGATAGATTCCTACTGGTTGTTTTAGTTAGAATGTAATAGAAATGGATATCTATCCATTTAGTCCAATTGTCATCGTCCTAGGGTCTGTTTGTGATTCAATCGGAGCCATTACGCGGTCCACGGGTCGGTTCCCACGCAAAGCCAATGTTTGTTGACGAAACATTTGTCTTGGTCTAGCCCGACTCAGATGTCTCTAGTTAGTCCTTAGTGTACCTTGTGATTTTGTAAAGACCGCTTGAATTGGTAATGCGACTTTTAATAGATTTAAACTATAAAGTCAGTAAATGTTTCATATCTACACTAATATTATAAAGAGGAAAACTTTGTTTGTTTGTTTGGTTGTAATGAATAGGCTCAAAAACAACTGGACCGTTTTTAAAAATTCTTTCACCATTTGAAAGCTACATTATCCACGAGTAACATAGGCTAAATTTTATTTTGGAAAAAAATAGGGTTCCGTAAAATATGTAGATAATGTAGACCACGCGCGCGAAGCCGCGGGCGGAAAGCTAGTAAACTATAAAGTCAGTAAATGTTTCGTATCGTATTCACCTAGCGCTATGTCATATTTATACATTATACAGGATGGAAACGATAAGTGATCTCACTCGATTATTTCTAAACTATGTATACAAGATATCAAAAAACTAAATACTGATCCTGAAAGTGCTTCTAAACGCTATCTAGCTCTTTCAAACGGTACCAATAATAGATTACAGAATAAATAGGATCTGTCCAAAAATTCAATGTTTCAAGCTTCTATACTAAATGTATGCCAGCCACACATTGAGATTTAGAGTGTAATTTTATTTCATTGAATAATAATCTCTTAAAATCAACATCATGTTCATTTACATGGTATCGCCGCAGGTCTCTACTAGACTTATTTCAATAACTTTTGTCCCCATCGCAATTCGAACCCGCAAACCACCAGGTGAGATAGTCCTTTAGTCCTATTGCTTAATTCAAAATAAAATCCACTATTCATATGAAAATCCAAACCACTAAATCAAAAATCTAAACAGTTACTTTGTCACGATTTAATAATAGACTCACGCGCGCTATCCCATTGCCTCACTCGCTTTCCCATCTGATTCCCTGATCAGTGACCCCGACAATAACTTATAAACAGAAAGCTATCAACTGGCCAGCCCAATGGTTACGTATTCCGGACACTCGCGGGGGCATAAACCGGACAATAAATCGCTGACAAAAAACAATCCAATGTACACTGAAATAAAAGGGTTCCATGGACGCGAGTCACTTTTCTGCTGTCGTTATCGACTGTCAATTGTCATTGCGATGTTGCATTATGTTCTCTGTGAGTTGTTGTCAATAGAGCAGTCATTGTTCTAACATTATGGGACATGTCCAGGCTCCTAGTGTTTATAGTTAAGTTTCGGCCAAACCAACGCGATCACACGCGATCAGCCGGCGTGCAGCGATGGCGACCAGACTAAAATGCATTGATCGCCATCGCTGCACGCCGGCTGATCGCGTGTGATCGCGTTGGTTTGGCCGAACCTTTAGAAAATTTTTAATTTGTACGATAGAATCATTTTTAACTCTTTCTGCCAGGCGACTAACGGACAAAAATTCTATAATAGACCTCTCTAACCCGTCTGGCCAGCGTGGGGAGTGTAAGTTAATTCCTCCATTGCCCCTGGTAAATAAAAGAGGTCTTGCTCCTGCAACTTGATTAAGTAAGACTGATGATTTAGATTGCAATAAGTAATAAATTTTGTAATTTGATTTGCTCGGGCCTCTTTTTTTACCCAGGATAATGGCCTATCCATACCTACCGTTCACATTAATCATTTATTCATCTTCAAGTACCTTTACATAATGTGAAACAACCGAACTCCATTTCGGCCTACTTATCCCAAAAGTTTGATACAACCAGCACTAGAGTTAAGTAGGTGGTACACCTCTACCTGGCTCGCGCTACAGGCATTTATCTCAATAAAAGTCTACACCTGTGTGTGCTGTCAATGACAAACGGGGCAGACGCGACACGCTTGCAGGAGCTGCCTACGTGAGAGATCACGCTTAGTTCTTCGGCCTTAATTTTGAATTTATGGTAAGTTTATGAGGGCGGTTATTTGAAGAAGATTTTACAGAAATCGCACTAGGTATGGCATATCGCCACTTTAACGTAGGTACTGAAAAGTAGGTACTCTATGTGATAACAATGTGGACGTAAACCGTAAATGTTTACCGTACATTATGTTTGAATAGTTGTAGAACAAGCTAGCTTATAGTAATATAGGCACTTAACTTAAATCACTTCAAATTGGAAATGCATATTATTATTATGGGATCATTTTGACTATAGCACAGAATAAGTTATTGTACCAAGCCACATTATCATTAAAACTATGGAAACATTTGGACGCAGTGGTTTGCTCTTGTTATCCTACTAATCTTACTAATATTATAAATGCGAAAGTTTGTGTGAATGTCTGGATGTCTGGATGTTTGTTACTCTTTCACGCAAAAATTACTGAACGGATTTTGTTGAAACTTTACAGTATTATTATTTATAACCCAGATTAACATAAAGGCTATAATTTATGACGATTTGTGACAAACTTAATTCAACGCGGGTGAAACCGCGGGCAAAAGCTAGTTATAAAATAAACCTATAATAAGCCTACAGTCAAAAATATTGTGCTTAACAATACGTTTTTAACCGCAACGTACACTCATTTATTTTTCAGTAAATGAGTTTTCGAATTAATGATTAGGCATTATCTGATTACAATAAAATGCCTTCTGTAAATCGCGAATCTATTTAATCTTTGCCGTACAGAGGATCAGAAAGAATGTATAGCTGACAGTGGGTGCCGGATCAGATAACAAAAATATCTTTTAGCTTTTCTGCTCTATATTTTAGTAAAAGGAAACGTAGTGTTTTAAAAACAACGTACAATAAGAAAGTTATTTTTGAATAAAGTAGAAGACAGACTTAAATAAAAATAACATTTTTTCGGTATTTTTTTTTCTATACTCGTATATATTGAGGGAAATAAATTGAATTTATGAATACGAATACCTACTTACGGAGATAAAACTTTAATGTATACCTAGAACATTGAAATGAAATCTTAGGCATCATAAATTATACGCCACGTCCTATAGATCGTTTCATCCACGAAGACGCGCCCCACCACTCTTCCGCTAATGTTTAAGTGTTATCGGTACACGCTAAATTATCTATGAATGCACAGTGCACACGCACACTACAATAATGACGCTCGGATTCCTCGGATCCAACTCCCCGCACTCCGCGTTTCCCTCGACCAAAAATGGTGGGGCACGTCTTTTTGGATGAAACGATCTATTAAAATTGAATGATTAATGTCTCTGTTCAAAACAGCCTATCTTTAGACTGTAGACTGTACAAAGTAGCCCTTAGCCGTCAAATATAGCCTAAGACTAGGCACAGACCACCGACTTTAAGTTGGCCGATGATTGGGCCCGATTCTCTTTTGTATGAAGAATCGGCCGATACCAAATCGGTGTAAAGTGAGCACTTTCATACATGTCCATATTGATTAACAGCCTGACCCAACTATCAGCCAACTAAAATTCGATGGTCTGTACTTAGGCTAAGTCAGTCAGAAACCTAAAATTTTTTGTCTACAAAACCGGTAATTCATCCCTTGGTGTCCTAATTGCCCGTTTAAACCATTGTTTAACGATTCAACACCAGTCCATTGGCTGATGGCTACAGGAGCCGTGTTCAGTGATTCTAATGGGGCGATTAAATTCAGGGCGTACCGATTAGCATTTACATTGAAGCGTGGTTACTGGTTGATTTATACAGCCTATTAATGAAGACGGAGATGGTTGTTAAATGAATGAGGAGGCTATTGCTTAGCATGTGTTTGTATTAGCTGTATTTATGACTTTGCTTGCAACTTGTGAACTGTTAATTTGTTAATAGCTGACCTGTCAGATACTCGGTTACACAGTTAAATGGGATTTTTTCCCTTTATAAAAACACAGAATGGCAAAAGTTGAAAAATAAGTGTTATGTATTTTTATGTTTGTAAGTATACCACCAACATGACATACAAAAAAATTACATAACAACCTTATTTATAGAAAACCAAATGGTCCAGGTGTTCCTGAATTGTACGCTTCATAACACATCTGACGATTATTTTTTACTAGCTTTCCGCCCGCGGCTTTGCTCGCGTGGAATTTTGTCTGTCACAGAAAAACATTATCGCGCGCGTCCCTGTTTCAAAAACCGGGATAAAAACTATCCTATGTTCTTTCCCGGGACTCAAACTATCTCTATGCCAAATTTCATCAAAATCGGTTGCGAGGTTTAAGCGGGAAAGCGTAACAGACAGACAGACAGACAGAGTTACTTTCGCATTTATAATATTAGTTGGGATACAGATTTGTTTCAATTGTCTATGATGGGGCGTATAAAACAAACAAAATATACCAAACCGAATTTAGCAAACATGATTGAAATTTTCAGGGCATTCCCCGGATTTCCAACTAACAATCTCATAGAGACTAAATAGCCCTACCTATCCCTCAAACCACAGTGTTAATACACAGCTATTTGTACCTACTCGTAAGANCCACTGCATATGCATGTGCAAAAAGAAGCCAAGCAGAGCACATATAGAATCTGCACCCGCACGAAAGTCAGATGGGCTTCTCAAAATCTGATAAGACTCAAGGAATCAGTACTTGAAAACAAACTTCTGTGCATGCCCAGTGACGACATGCATACGGAATGTAACTTCACCAAACTATATTCCGTAAACATACCTCCTAGAGACAAATGGCTAGAAGGCCAAATGTCATTTAAGGAAGGTAGTCACGTCTGGTACACGGACGGATCCAAAAAGGAAAATAATGTAGGTTGCGGGATCTACGGAGAGAGGCCTAAGCTCAAAGTTAGCCTAAACATGGGGACTGAAGCCTCAATCTTCCAAGCCGAGGTCTTTGCCATAAACAAATGTGCAGAGATAAACTTGGAAAGGAAGCTCCAGGATCAACACATCTACATCAACTCAGACAGCCAAGCAGCACTGCTGGCCTTAACATCCTTCGAATACACGTCAAAATTGGTGCAAACATGCACCGAGACACTGAATGCACTGGGAAATACCAACAAAGTAACGCTTACATGGGTACCAGGACATTCGAATATAGAAGGAAACGAAGTAGCAGATGAACTCGCCAGAGATGGAGCCGATAACCCTCAAATCGGCGTAGAACCGTTCTGTGGCATTACCAAACAACGAGCCACCACGCTACTAACCGCCCTCTGCAAACAAGAGGCTATTGAGTGGTGGAAGTCTACATCGGGACAAAAACACTCAAAAGCACTCATTCAGGGATATAGCAATAAAGTAACTAAGGAACTGCTAAAGTTCAAAAGATACAAAGCATGTGCAGTGACTAGAATACTGACCGGCCACTGCAAACTAAACAAACATAAATCGAACATGAACATGACCGAGGAAGCTCTGTGCAGATTCTGCCATACAGAAGAAGAAACGGCCATGCATGTTCTTTGCTCATGCTTCCCGCTTATGAGCAAAAGAAGTATCCATCTCGGGCGACACATCATGCACCCGGATGAGATAGCAGATATCACGCTCCAAAGAATCTGGAAATTTATAGACTCAACGGGACTAAGCAGTGAACTTTAAAGACAAGGGCTGCCACAATAGATCAAACCTGGTCGAGTTGGCGCAAATAAAGGCCCAAAAACCAATAATTATAATAATACTCGTAAGATGCCCCAACCACAAGCAGCTTCTTGCAATAACTCCAACACATACTAGCCGTAGCCAAATGGCCGTGGAATATGCACAGCTACAGATGCTGTGGCCAAATATAATCAATCCATGATGTTGGTTTTGGCACATCCATGGCGCACCATTTGCCTGATGATATTAGTCCTTGGGCATAATGGGGTTATTTAGTTTGATGGACTTCCTCATAATGTCAATAGACAATAAATGTTGGTATGCATTTACAGCTTTATGTTATTTAGAAGAATGTAGTCAGTTAGATCTATTAGGGCAGTAAAATGATCATTTCAGATAGCGCATTTTAAAATAAAATCATCAGTTAAAATGAGATCAAATAAATGTAAAGTAACTAATAATTATTTTAGCAGTGGTAGGGTTAATATTGGGACGTGTAAAGGGGCTTTTTAAAAGCCTACTTGCATAAATAAATGATTTTTATGAGTTTTTAACCGACTTCGACCTAAGGGGGAGGTTCTCAATTCGGTTGGTAGGTATCTTTTTTTTAACTATTTTTTAAAAAGTACGTTACATGGTCAACAAATTAATTTTTATCATCGAATCAGCTACTGGAAATAATCTTGACACTGTGGCGACAGCATATGACATGTCTGCATTGAGACTTTACCTTCTGTTGCAAAGTTATTTTTTTGTCAATGTGTAAAATAAATAATTACTTAGCTAAAGTCATCATTTCATACTGTCGTTGACTCATTGATATTTGCCATGACAAATTAGCATATCGTTAAATATTTATACCACTTTTTCTTGCAAGTCAGATTCTGATTAAATCAAAACTGTTTATTGCCAGTTCAGTTTCATTACATTCCAAGATATCATGCCATGTTCCATTCCAATTCCCCATTCTTTGTGGTAATTTTTAAATGTAATTGGAATTAATGTGAAGGGTTTATGATAAGGGGCTGTACAGAATGACTTTAAATTTCTATAGAGTTACCGTATTTATGCTCATTTCATTTGAACGAAAGAACCTTACTCCCAAGTATTTTGATGTCATTTTGGTAAAGTTTTGTTTTAATTTATAATTTAAACAGGTACTAAATAAAAGTTTTTATTTTGCTCTTTTTCTTTCTTTAATGGTGATAATGCATAAGAACATGTCATTTTTATTTCGTTTTCATTTAAGTTTCAACCAGCTTACATGAAGTTGAGTTTGGCGCCATTTTCAGACAAGACCTTGGATGTCTCCTCTGGAAATGGCGCCGAACAGATAAGTGCAAATATCACAGCCCTTGTGGCAAACCGAACCTCTTTGCCTTTTATACTTTTTTTTATTTAATTTTTTTAAGAATAAACCTGTTTTTTTGATAGCTGTCTTGTAAGCAACGTCTCGAAATTAAACGCGAATATTTTACTTGGATATTTTCTTATATTTTTCACTCCTTTACCTCTGATCCCTCACTGTCCTCAACATNATATCACAGCTGATGCCCTTTTGTATTGCATTACCTTCTGTCCAACTCCAAATCACTTATGTGAAGTACCCTTGTTCAGTGTTCAGCTTCACTCAGGTATTGTGCTTGACTGATTTGCTCACCACAGGGCCAACCCGCAGACAGATAAGTCACCATATCTAAAACTCAAGTCAAATCTAAAAATATGCACATACAACATGCTACAACCAGTAACCTTTTTATTAAACAGCTAATAAATAACCTCAAGATTAAAATCATTTTCACCATGTGGGAAGAATAACCAACAATAATGGCTGGTACACAAGAATACTCTTAAAGTTAAACGTACCACATTCTATATCTTTTTTTTTTAATTATAATAATTGGATAAATTTTAATCACCCACACCAATTTTCAATTTTAGTGATACAACCCAAATCACTACTGGCAGCAGAAATTAATTGATAAGTTGGAAAGGTTCAATATTAACATTATCTTTACTCAAAATATAGCATCATGTTACATAATAATAATTATGTTTCACAATAATTGAAGTATCAATCACTATAAGAGTACCAAAAATACACTACATGTTCAACGGCATAACTGGCTGCTTTACTTAATTTCAATTTACAAATTAAACTATTTAATAGATTTTATCTCATCTTATAGTGCTCAACATCAAGAAAGAAACATCATGATACTAAAACTGGTTTACACAACACAGACCTTAGCTTCAATTTACTTGAATAAACTAATTATTAATTCTTCTCCAAAATAATGCCAAAAGGTTACTCGGGCATGATCACCAAACTTATTTAATTTATCTGACCAAATTCTATCTATTCTTTACAGATTTTAAATCTCAACAAGTTATTCTTTGCAGAATGTAAACATGAACAAATGAACACCGTTCAATTTAATTTGATTTACTTAAATAGTTTATTAGGCATTGCAATTAAAGTGAGCACATACCATAGCTTTCACACGCATTCCTGGCATTATCAGTAAAGACTGACAATACCTATAACATTTGTTGCATCATTCACTTCCATGCATTATTATGCTCAAAAAGGAAATGTGTTAATAATGTTGCTATTGTTGCTGTTAGAATAATCGATAATAATAATGAATCGTACCTGCTCTGGGGCCATCGTTAGTCAAATTGTTCACCACTTACGTGACCACAAGCCAAGTTACGGAAGGAGCATCTTCATCATTCGAGTCCATCATTTCTCGTACTTAAATACTTTTCTGCATCTCACACCTTTGTCAACGTGGTTTCCTTGACATTCTCTCTTCATCATATTCAATTATAACCATAGAATCGTGGGCGTTTTGTGATAACATTCGTGACAAATAACACGAAACATTGGTCACCTGGAACACTTTGAAATCACGTTACTATCATAGGTTTCAGATCCCACTTCTGAACTATTAGAGGCCGGTCGATCTATTCTCATAAATAAAACACTGGATACTCATCTTTCACATTATATTGCCTTATTTTAGATACATTTCATCACTTAGCACTAAAAGCGCGCGGAGTCGTCTCCGCGCGTCCCTCTAATCTGACGTTTGATTCTCGCGTGACATTGACAATACGTCAATGTCACTATGACAGCAGCTCATTGGCTATAACGATACCGCTATTTTAACGTTTTATATTTTTCACAATTAACACGTAGGAACGCGCGGGCGCGGGAAACGTTGCGAGCTCGTGTTCACATTAACCACCAGGCGTTCGCGCGAGTGTGACGTACTATCGTTTCTAGCGACAAGTTCAAACTGGTTGAACTTACCTGACGTCGCGGGTGAAACGCGCGCGCCGCCGCTAGTTTGACATGAACACACACAAACATCTTCACCCGTTGAAATTACCGCGAGCGCTCCGCGCGCACCAGTCGCTAGCTTGCCCGCTAGTTAGACCGCACGTGCGTTTCATACGTGAACACTTGGAATCACTACATATGTTTGATATTTCGTCACCGCGCCCGCGAGTCAACGTGAACAAACACTTAGTCCATTTGCAACCCACTACAGAAGCGATGCCAACGCGCTACAACAGCGCGACTGTATCGATGCAAACGCGCGACCGTGTCGTAGACATCGGGGAGAGAACGGAGGGAGGGTTACTGAATCGCGTTTGCATCGCGACAGTATTGCGTTTGCATTGCGACAGAAGCGCGTTTATGTGCGCGAGGGCACACAGCTAGCGACCGCATTGCGACTGTATCGATGCGAACGCGCGGCAGAATCGCTACTGCATCGCTACAAAAAGTCGCCGTGGGCGAGGGGCCTAATACTTAACTTATTCAGGCACGACCTACTTGAGGTTCACACTAAATTAAACCTTAACACACTGACCACATGCTTCTATTTACCTGGACGGATTGAGTTCTTCTACTGCGACGGTTTTCATGAAGCTATGCCACGTGAGCTTGACCACGGAGTCGTCGATGTGCTCCAACGCCCACTCCAAGATGTACGGGGCTTCGGACAACTGTTGGAGGTTTACACTGGAATAAAAACATAAAATGTGTGTCACTATATGGCCATACAAAAGTTCTTAGCTTAAGTATCACTTATTATTGGGGGAGGCCTTTGTCCAGCAGTGGACGTCGTTTGGCTGAAACGAACGAACGAGGCGCATGTAGTCTGCGACTCGCTTATAGTAGTGTGAATAACAAGTAGTGTCGACCCAGGATACCTCCGTATCTTCCGTATCAATGATACGGGGCCCCTGAAATACAGGGGTCCCAGTGGCTGACTTTTTAGAATAGAAAGAGTATGCATCTCCCTAAGGAAGTTCTGTAATTTTGCAATGTTCGCTTATTAATTAAAATAATCCCTTTGACCTAATGACTTTTTTTAGATGGGGCCTCTAAAAAATTTTTAAACAGGGGGCCCTGTGTCTTAGACTGCGTTTCTTCCAGAGATGTGCGAGGATGCGTTTACCTCGCCTCGGTAAATGAAGCGATTATATTGGTTCTTTACAAACATAACTGTCGCTACTCATCCTCGCACATCTCTGGTGGAAAGCGTTTCCACCTAAGGCACGCTACGCAACTGGTGCGACCATAGAGATATAGAGAGATGCCAACTAATGCGCTGAGTTCGATACTCAGTGTCGCATTAGAAATTCACACACACAAAGTAATCAAAATATGTGCTCATTATCCACTGCGGTATCAGTACCTACTCAAGGTTCAAATAATATTTACTAAGTACTACGCAAGCAATGTACCTAAACTGTTTACATTATGACGTCGCTGCTGTCATCATTACTGTCACGAGCAATGTGTTCTGCTTTTGGGCATATTGCTGCGACACCGGCCCCGCCCCCTTTTCACATCTCCCTTTAGTTTCTGTGATCTGTGGGTGCGACCCATAATATGGCATCAGTCAGTGGCGGGGGCGGGGCTAGTCGTAGGTATATAATCCGGTCGCCGAGTACGAATAATTTTGTCCAATGACTCCAAGCTGTCCATCCTTATCGCTCGCGCGTAATGAGGGTTTTCACGATTGAAAAATCCGCCAGATGGCAATACGTAGACGGGAGGTCCAAATGCTGCATGATTGGTGGATTTTGACATATCTGTCAATGTCATGTCAAAAATAACCAATCATGCAGCATTTGGACCTCGCGTCTACGTATTGCCATCTGGCGGATTTTTCAATCGCGAAAACCCTCATTATATGGCTGTCGCGACTGTGCGACGGGCGGCTGCAGTGATTTGNAACGCTGTGCCGTTGTCTGAGATGATCGTCGAAGGTGACCCTCTCCGCGCGATAAAACGTCGTAAGCTCATGATCGCCGAGTCGGAAGAAAGGCTGTGTACAACTTCGAGATGGATCGCTCTCACCGTCAGACATGTATATAAGGCGACGTATCGTTTTTCCCTTCGTCGGCCAATAGTTACTTCGAGAGGGCCGAAGTAGTCAAGGCCAACATGTGTGAAAGGCCTTTGATGGTGTGCGAGACGCTCTGCAGGTAGGTCCGCCGTAGGTGGTATTAACGTCGGAGATTTTCTTATACGACAGAAACGGCAGCTTTTGGCCACTGTCTTCACTGTAGGCCTCAGGTGCAATATCCAGTATTTCTGTCGCAATTCATTCACCACCGTTTCATTGTTTGCGTGGGCCATTTTCTTATGGTAACTGNGTGATTTGAGCTTGGTTAAGGTTAATTACGCGCGAGCGATAAGGATGGGTAGCTTGGGGCTTGGGGTCATTGGACGAAATTCTAAGTGCTCGGCGACCGGACTATAGTGTGTATTGTGTGATACTAGCTTGTAGTGGTGTGAGTCAACGTTTCGTATAACGTGAATTCCTAAAGTGTTTTGTGGGGCTAGTGTATGATGTGATTCACGTAGAATAGTGTATAGTGTGCGCGTAATGTGCTTACGTGTAGTGGTGTGCGACGGCGGGCGGATAAAGGCGCGCGGAAGGCGAGCGCACGTTGGAGCAGAAGCCGCGCGCGTTGTTAGAGCACTGTAGCATGCCCACGCGCACTTGTGCTAACGGCCGGAGCTAAGGAACAAACAGAAATCCACATTCAATCCATTTTGCATGTTTAAGAGCGTTTACGCCGTTTGGCGCAAAAACAGTACTTTTTCAACTCGTTACAATCATTAACCAGTAATACTACAAATATGTTATAGGCATAAATAGTTAGGCAATTTCGTCGTCTAAATAGTTAATTGCGAAAATATTGCGATTAGTTTAGTATTTAAGAATTCTATCAAGATAAGTCCACACAGGTTTTGTAAATTTCCACTTTAGCGTCAGTTTACAAGCTGAAATTTTTATAAAAATACTGTGAAAACGATTTAAAAAACATTTATATCCTATAGCATAGATCCTTGGGCAAATAGTTATCAGAGAAAATTTTTAGATTTAAGCATTTTACAATAAGAAATCACAAATTAAAAGAACGTGAAATACCCAAAAATCTGTGTTTTTTCACCAATATTTTTCCTTTATTCAACATAAAAATAGCTTAATATAATAAAACAACATCTTCTTTAAAATATTTACTTTGAAACGATATTTAATTCATTGTTATTGTTTTGCTATAAACATTTGAAAACTATTAAAAAACGCCGCGCGCGAATCATTTCCAATGATGCCCCTTGAAACGCCGCGCTTCGCGTAAACGCTCTTAAATTACGTCAGTATTTTTCTTCCTAGCTCGGTACACTCTTGCCAGAGGGTCCTATGGGCTGAGTGTGAGTTTACATCAAACGCCCTCACTAGTGAGCGCGTTAAAAAATATAAAATCAAAATTACCGTCACAGCCCGCAGAATTGATAAACTAGGACTGACTACCGTTGGGGTAGAAAAGTTCTGGATTGGAAAACGTAGAGGGAACGCCTCTTACTCTCCAAGACGAAGGCCGCGGGAAGCACCTGGATACGAGCAGCCCAGGACCATTGTGATAATCCTTAAAGCCGTTGTCCAGCAGTCAACATTTTTTGTCTGAATTGCTAATAATTATTATACCTTCTGTGCCACGCGGCGCCACTCGTGCGCCAGCTGCGAGCAGCCGCGGCCGCAGTGTGCCGGGAAATACGCCACCAGCCAGTGGTTCCGGCGCTCGCGGGAGTCCATCACTTTATATTTACGATAATGCATCGATTGATAAACAAGTGGTAGTGGACGCGACACAGCAAAAAGTTCTCGAGTAATGAATACCAACTGAAGACGAAGACAGAACGCCTCTCACTCGGTGGACTGAAGATCTGGTGAAGGTCACGGGAAGCACCAGTATAATGAGTAGCACAAGATTGATCCTTGTGGAAATCCTTAGTGGGCCTGTCTACTGCTGGACAGAGGCGCTCCAAGGATTTCTAACCGAAGGGGTGCGATAGTGAGGGACCTTCTCGTGGTGCGCCATGGGCAACGTCCGCGTGGTCTGTTCACGCGGGCGGCTAACTTCTCACCTGCGCGGCAGGTCTCGTCAACTCGGCGGGCCTGTCGGGCAACCCGTAACCCACAATTGAGTGGGCCGGGGGCCGTCGAGGCAATTGCTCGGGCCACGATGCAGGGGACATCTTTAAAAACCCCCACAGGTGGGGGCTGGCGGGGCGTTTGCCCGTGCCCATTCTTTGGAGGGCCGCTCACGGTACTTCTCTGATCAGCAGAGCTGACCGAGCAGCGGCATAGAGCAGACCGTAACCCGCTACGGCGGGCCGGGGGTCCTGTTGTACGAGAGCCGCGAGGAGAAAACCTCAATAAAAACAACTGGAGGAGGGGATTAAAGGTTCCCTCGAAGCCAGAGAGGCTCGCTCACGAGCCTGAGGCGGAGCTGCGGACGAATGTCCAACCAGGACAATAACTCGCGGCTCCGTTTTTAGTGGGTAGGCCCCGCCTTTAGCGGGTAGGCGGGGAGAGTCCCATATAACCCACTGGCCGTTCCCATAGACCAGTTATGCGCAAAGCATTTCCCGACGAAAAAAAAAAGGATTTCTAACCGAAATGATAATATGTGATAATGATATACCTTCTGTGCCACGCGGCGCCACTCGTGCGCCAGCTGCGAGCAGCCGCGGCCGCAGTGTGCCGGGAAATACGCCACCAGCCAGTGGTTCCGGCGCTCGCGGGAGTCCATCACTTCTAGCACCTGCTGCTCGTCCAGCTCCAAGTCTTGGAACGGGAAAACAAACATTACACTAGTGATGCAACGAATACTACTTTTACGAATACGAATATTAAATCTACTATTCGCCGAATACGAATGTCTCTACATAAGGGTTAATACTGGGACGTGTAAAAGTGCTTTTCTAAAGCCTACTTACAGAAATAAATGAGTTTTACTGAGTTTTACTAAAGGCTGATTTACACTTTGATTAGTGTGAGTACTGCAATAAATTTAAGTCATTTTAACACGGTTAATGTTTTAGTAATTAAAAGTTACAAGTGGCATTTTTATTGGTATTGTATCACTTTACTTTGTAACTAATCACAAAACAAAATAATACTTGTACAATCGACCTGCTATTGACTGTCAAATTCCGGAAGAGAACTTGCATTACTACTTTGTTACATATTGACCGGGGTTTCCCGTCATGTCGTTGTGGCTGTAGTGTTCGGAGACACACACACGTGTTACAAATTTAAAAAAAAGTAGGTATTCGTATTCGTTATTATTATTTCACCGAATACGAATATTCGGTAAATGTCTACTATTCGGCGAATATATTCGTATTCGTTGCATCACTACCTACATATATATATATTTTTTTAACATTACACATTAATCAAAATTTTAAGCCAGATTCATATTTATTATTACTGACGGGATTATTACCATGTACCTTAATTATTTTGAGTTTCCTATATTTCGGCACTGTTGCAAGCGTCATGGTCACGGAGTAACTGAATAAACTTGCGGGTGAGATGTTATGGGCANATAACAACAATGTTAACAGCATTGTTGTGTTCCGTCAGTTGAGGTAAGATAACCAGTTCCTCCGTGGTTGAGGATTCCGGGTGAAGCTCGCTTCCACCTTCGGCCTGATCATCACTTACCATCAGGTGAGATACAGGCCAAGAGCTTCCTCGTCAAAAACATAGAATTGACTTGCGAAAAATTTCACGTGAAGATTTTATAATGACTTTCAACGAGGACAATCAAAACAAAACTGAATATAATGTGGATCAAAATATTGTGTTTAAAGATAGTCAAATCACATTGTTTCGTAATCTTAAACCATCTTTTCCCAGATCACATTACCTATAGTGTTTATTGTGGAATTATGTCACCAAAAACGATTCCTGTTTCCCATATACCTTGTGAAACCCTAAGCACACCCTAAGTCCAGATTTCTATTGCGCCTCGATTCGCTGGTACCTACTTGAAGGGCTACCTTTATTAACTAATAAAGTCGTATAAAATGTTACACTACGGTGTAAATGCCCCCAAATAGCCCCATCGCGTCACGTAACCCGTTGAATGTGGTCTCCTAGACTGTAATGAGGAATATTATCACCTCCGCGTGCTAACCCTCCCTCGGCTTAATTAACGACATTTTTTTGGTTGATCCGACCCCAGAATATAAACGAGTTTGATGAGCTCTTTTTAAAATAAATATATAAAATAAAAAATGTCTACGAACCTTAATCATACAGAAAGTTGAATCTTGCAATTTAAATAATAAAATTCCACTGAAAGTAGTACCTAGTATCAAGACTGATACAATTAAAATATTTTTTCTGCTCTCTACACAAAGATATGGAGAAAGTTATTAAAATGTTTAGTATATGAGTTGCATCTCAAACGAATGTTTTAAAAGTAATATCCAGTTTTTCAATTATATAATGCAAGTACCAACTTGTTTTTTATTTTAAGAGCAAATGAAATTGAGGAATAGATAATGTCGTAGTAGAAAGCCATAAAATAGCAACATTTATCATTTACCCCTACATACTATTTTTCCATTTAGGAATCCGTTGCAAATATTTTTGTTCGAGTAGGGCGTCCCCCCTCTAAAAACTAAACTGTTGACTTGAAAAATCTGGAAAAATTTGTAATAATACTGCATTTCATGGACTTTCAAGGAAAACTATAACGGTTAAGATACATTGGTTAGTTTAAGAGTAATAGTCATTTGACTCCTGTATTATAACATTTCTTAACCAGTAAAAAATCCTTAGAAGAAAATATGAAGTGACTTTAGATGAAGTAATTGCTTGCTTCTGAAATATGTATATTGTGGTAACGACGGACAGTTGTCCGTCGTTACGGACTGTGTAGGGTTCCGTAGTTACGGAACCCTACACTGCGCGTGGCACGACACACACTTGGCTAATTTTTTCGCTTTAAAACAAGATCTGTTTAGGTTTGTTTGTTTCTTTCTTTTTTTTTTCTTTTTTTTTCTTTTTAATAATAAAAAAAAGATTATTACCTTTCCTTTACAAAAAAATATTAAAATTACTGACACTAAAAAAAAATTACAGTTTGCGCAGCTACCTCGTAAAAAAGCGCAGTACGGTTATGATTTTTAGAAATTCAAACTTTATTCTGTTGATAATAACATTATCCTTTCCATTAATGCCCCACGAAAACTTTAGCGTTAAACTGCAGCCCGAGGTATCACGTTCGGCGTCGATCGGCTCGCGCCACATACCGTCGCGGCGCCGCATTTCATACATTCCGTCGGGAAGACTTCAAGGCTCGCCTACCTCGTTGAAGGGGATATCTCGAGATTGAGATAGGTAGTTGCTTTATTAACTAACATATATCAAAAACAGATAAAGCACTTATAATAAAATTGAGCTTTGGTTTAAATCCGGCAAGCATCAGTTAGCATGTCGCAAATTCTGTTTGAAAAAGTGAAAAGTGCGGTCATTTTTTTTTAAACCCGTCGGTTGGACGAAAACAATAATGGTGGTGGACGCGAACAGGTCATATCACCCTATCTGACACAATGCTTGTTGAGTCTAAACAGTAAAATGGTAGCACTGAGCCCATGTGATAGAATAACTAACAAATGAAAATAAAATCAGAGAAGAAAAACATTTGCAATCTCAAATAAAATAAAACCAAGGCAAATCCTAATCCCAAATCCGCTTAATCCTGAAAAAATCTAAAGCACCTCTATATCTCTGGAAATAAATATGTACTTCGTGACTAAAGTTTATCACCTCTGAATGTAGTGGTTAATAATAGCCACTTTCCAACGCACCTCTAGCGAGGCACGTGCTAGCCTAGCCGCTACGTGCCTAGACTGTATACCGCTCTTTTGTACCTAGCTTTATTATCAAACTTACTAGATATTTGAAGCAGAACATTATCGGACGCGAGATCTTTGTTGTAAGTTGAGGGTCAGAAGCTAGATACTTTTGAGGGCGTTTCTTTTTAGGTAGTCGTGGGGTAGCATCGTTTTGGAAGACAAAGTATGTGAAACTCGTATCATGAAACGATAATCAAAAGTAAACAAAACTCAAGTCGAACTCAAAATTTAAATAGCAGCTTCCCCATTGCAGTAAAAAAAAAGGAATCATATGCTTAAACCTTTGCTTTAGCTTCAATTATTTTGATGAAAAATAGCACCCATTTCAACTACAAAGAACTTTGATTTGATTGCACTTAGTACTTTTATCTTATTTCCATCAATAACTCTTTTCTATTAATAATTCCTAATTGTCATTTATAATAATAACTGGAATAGGACTGGTAATCAATGGATTAGAACGTTGAGCTTCTCGGAATTTCTCTCCAAGTGTATGAGGAGATTCCTAAGCCCCATCTTGGCGTTTCGCCACAGTGTATATCGATTATCCGATTACTCCGATCATTGCCTTATGAGCAAGTCGTTGCAGTGTTAGGGAATATTCACGTAGTTACTAGTATTATGTACCGATATTGGATGCTCACATGATAATATTAATCTGAATACCCAGCTTTTCGTTTCAACCAAAGGTTTTACACAGTTGGACAAAGGCCTCCGCACAAATTTTCACAACGACCGGTGCTGCGAAGTCCGCTTTCAGGTGTTTCCCGCGACCTTCATTAGATCGTCAGTCCAACTAGTGGAAGGCCTGCCCACATCGCGTCTTCCGGTCCGTAGTCGCCACTGGAGCCTCTATATCACTCGTAGGTACTACTACCATAGTAAAATTGTTTTGCTTTTTGAATTAAAGCCTTCGGTCATTTGGCAAAATAGATTAGACCACACTACCACCTTCAATAGTATGTACTATGTATTCTGAAGGCTTTACATCCATTAGTTTTATTCTTTAACTGTTTACTAGCGGCCGCCTGCGACTTCGTACGTGTGGACCCCGTTTTACCCCCTTAGAGGTGGAGTTTTGTAAAATCCGTTCTTGGTGGATATCTACACCCTATAAGAAACCTACTTGCCAAATTTCAAGTTTGTAGGTGTCAAAGTTTCTGAGATTTCGTGATTAATCAGTGAGTAGTATTTCGTTTTTAAATAGATTTCGATTCAATATACTGTTTAAATGTTATAAGTCCACTATTGCATGCCGTGGTAACCTATAATTAAGGCAGCACTTAGATTATTACGATGTAAATATTGATTGTCTTATAGTGTATGTCATGTTGGTTGTCCTATTAAGCAAATAAAAAATAAATAACACACATTAACGCCTGATTTAAAACAGGTCAAGAGCCTCACCTACAATCAATACGAACAGATTGACGCCACAACTTGGTCTCTATTGTACTGTAACTGGAGGCGATCTGCGTCTTGTTTCGAGCGATGGGTTCCAAACAATACACAGGTCAATCCGTTAGACTTCAACGATTGTCTGAAGCCACAGGTGTTTTATAATATACAGAATAAGGTCTAAATCTGTATCAATCTTTCTTTCAATAACATAGGCTGGATTGCACCATCTTACTTTAACTTAGTATAATAAAAATAATAATCATAAATCTTTACATGCATAAAATGTTCATATTTTATTATTGGTACAATTCCATTTCAGTCGCTTTATAGACTTTTTACACAGTAGATAAATATCTACTGTGCTTTTTATGAGCTTCTATTATGTATAATACAATTTTAATTAAGCTATCAGCTCTGACTTTAAAGGATTATCGTCTCTATCATTATAGTTAAGGGTTACCAAATATCTAAATGTTATGAGACACGTATTCATAGCTTCTCGATTTCATCACTAAAATTCACTATTACTGATTGATATAGGTACGTAGCGCATCTATCCATTAAGTGGTTGAGAACTGTAATAACAATGCATAAAGTTAGCTAAAGCAGATTATATGTTTGTAAAATTGTGTTGGATAAAATGCATTCTTCAAACTTTTTTGTTGCTTCAATTCATACTAGCGGACTTAATTATATTCATACTTGCGGACTTGTGTTACAAAATTCTGCCAGCAAGCAGCAGAGCAGTTTGAAGCGTAGCATTCTAGTAATCTTGCTACCCGCGTTCGAGCGAGCATTCTTATCGCGTTACCTCAACCCACAGGAGTCAGGCCTGATTCGATCTTACACCGACTTTGGTAACTGGAAGCGACTCTATACAGGGTGTTAGGTAAATGGTTATATGACCCGACACTAGCCCATGTTAACATATGCATATAAATGGTATGGTGAAGTCAGAAATTTGATATCATCATTTTAATTTTTTAAATGTTCATACAAAATAAAATTTATAAAATCAGATTTATATGAAAATTAAAATAATTAAAATGATGATATCAATTTTCTGACTTCACCATACCATTTATATGCATTTATGTTAACATGGGCTAGTATCGGCTCATATACCCATTTACCTAACACCCTGTATGTATAATAATGTTCATAGTTCAGACGATGGCACATTTTGTTAAATACTATGTAAGAAAAATAGGTAATTATAGTTGTATTACCTACTGCAAAATTGTTTGACTGTAAAAAATATTATATACCTACCCTTTTAAAGTATTTACGTAGCCTGCTATAGAAAGGGGTTGTGCTCGGTATTTCTTTACGAGATTGAATCAGGGATGAGGAGATCCGTAACGAACATAATTTCTGACATAACCTGACGGATTTAAGCTGAAGTGGCTATGGGTAGAATATTGCATAGCACGCAGAACTGACGACCGATGGGGCAGCAAGGTTCTGAAATAGAGGGCAAGTACAAGCAGCGTGGGGAATGCAGTCTAAATCATCCTTATGGCTCTGTTAATTTAGAAAGAGTTGTCCTAACCTGACCTGATTAGGATGCAAATCAAATTGAACCTATTACTCTCATTTATAACGTTCTAAATTGATTATTATCCAATTTAGAACAGGAGACAATAGTCTTATCCAGTTACTTTAACTCCTGTCTCCGACCGCTTGCGGGCAGATCAGTTATAATGATATCGGTGTGGTCTAAGTTGAGTCACCCCTGTCCCCAGGCTACAGGAAAGGGCCTTTCGGATCACGTTCACATTAACACATCAAATTCAAAAGTAATCTAGATTAAAATGTGTTTAATAATAAACGGAAGAAACTCAGTAACGTTTCTAATTTTTGTTCTACATGCAACTTAATTTATAAAGAGCTTCAAACAAAGCTGGGATCACAGTGGAGAGACAAATCTGATGACGGATTTGTAACCCAATTTTTAACAAAACTTTTTCACAACCAGTCTGATATTCCCATTGAAACCAACTTCAGTCATAAAATCGAGTAAACAACAGTGCGATAACAAAACGCCATAAAACACCTATTTATGCCCGCAATATATCAAAACAAGGAACATTAACGTAGCAACCCTGAACGGGTGCCACAGCCAAAAATACCGATCAGTCAGTTTACTGTAATCAAGTATCCGGTCGTTCGTTTCAGCCAACGCCCCATGCCAACCAAAGCCCCATGACTTGGGGTTCAGCCAAACCAATGCGATCACAGCGCGATCAGCCGCGTGCAGCGATGGCGACCAGACCTAAATGCATTGATCGCCATCGCTTCACGCCGGTTGATCGCGTTGGTTTGGCCGAACCTTTGCACTGCTGGACAAAGGCTCCCTTGGGGATAACCACAACGATCGGTCCTGCGCTATTTAAATAAGTAGGTATTACCGGGCCTGTTCATCTCCGCGAGTTTACATCGAAAACAAAACACGCACGATGGCCCACCTACAGGATACTATTCGACAAGGCCTCACATACGAGCGAACATTGACTCACGCACGCGTATTCTTGTGTATGATGGAATAAAATAAAGAAAATGGTGTACTAAATACTGTGCAGTATTTAACTGCCTAAATAATAATAAAAACACAGAATGTACTTTTTTAAGTTGCCTCAAGGCACTGAGAGGTAAATAAGTAGTTAATATTATTGATGATAATTCATGCAAAATCATGTATTTCCTCCGCCATTTTCCGCAGTTTGGCACCTCGCGTCACATCATTTTACCGAAGTCAGCCCTATAGCTTCGGCGCAGTGCCGATCACTGACGTTTGTCAACAAAATGGTGCTTGACTCTTGAGACAGGCTAAATTACACCATATTGTTAATGACATTGAGCATACATTTTTTAAATACCTTCGCGAAGTAAAACTTCTGTACGTAGTACTTATTATTATTCTGTGGTATTACTAGCAACAGTTCTGTGTCTAAACAAAAGACTCAGTTAAAATGGTGGTGGTTAGCAGCCAGGCGGACTTAGAACTTAGACCTACCACTTCCACTGGGAATATAACCCGGAATCTCTGGATCTGAGTCAGGTGGTCTTACCACAATTTTAATATGATTATTTTATAGTCAACGAAAAGTTTAAATAGGTAACCATGCAAAATTATTGGAGGGAGTGATTATTACTTGGAACACGTTTGTATTTTGGTGTAGTTAAAACCACAAATATCTCTACACTCACAAATCAAATCAATGAATAAGTGTAAAGTTTTTAATCATGATTTGTTTGGGCTATGGTTTT